AAACTAGTTTAAAATGCTACTAGTTACATACGTCGAGTGAAGGACGAATTGTACGACAAGACTTACTAAATTTAACAAGAGGAAAGTGCCTACGTACAACATAAAGTTTATGACTTGAGTAATATTAGTCAATGGTAATTGATTTTCCTTGGGGGAAATATTATGAAAGTGATATGGAAATATATAGAAAACCTTATGTGGGTTAGATCTTGAGAATGATTAGATAGTCTAGTGGCCTAGCACCTATAGGGTGTTTAATAGGGTAAACGTAACTTCACGTGCATCATATGCATTCGGAGATGGATTGAACCGAGTAAATGATTGCCGAGGTTATTAGACAAGTAACCAATTGCTAAGGTAATTCGATAATAACCGATTGTCGAGGTTATTCGACGAGTAAATGATTACCGATGTTATTCGACAAGTAAATGATTGATGAGGTTATTCGACAATCACCGAGAATAAAGCAAACTTACTTATACCCGTGGTACCCTTAACATTTCAAATTGATGAGTATAGTGGGGGAAAGTCAAAAAAACATTGCATAACACGTGTATCACCCTACTTACCGAGCTTCAACTCACCCTGTTTGTTGTTGCGTGCCACGACGGTTAAAAGCGATGGTAGTACTAGTAAAGATGATGTCGGTTCCTCCAAAAAGGCTCTCGTGTGACACAAATGTAACGAAGTTTATTTTGCTTGTCGTTTTGGGTTGGGGTGTCGGTAGACATTTTAATGGCTTTGTACATGTTTTGTTTGTAATTCCTTCGCCGTAATGACTCATGTTATGTAATTTATCATATACGCATCCCAACATGTAATCGTATTTGTGACTCGTTATGTAACTTTTCTTCCTATGCATTTCTATATGTCCCATGTAGTAAGTTTTGAGCAACTACATACAAGAGTTAAGTCGGGATTAGATTGTATCAATGTGACGCGCCCGACCACTTCTATTTGGGTAATAGAGGGTGGACTGGAGTGAGGGCGTCACGTAAGCAATCGACTCAAAATGGCAAATTTTAAGGTTTTGATTCCTTTGCTTATTTAATAAATTATTGGTTAGTTAGGAATTGGTTAAGTATGAATTGATGAATGAAATTAAAATTTTTTTGTAAAAAATGAAGAATTTCACCTAAATTACTTAGGCCATATACGATCCAAATTGGAAGTAAATTAGGGTTTAGGAACATTGGACTTCTAATGATTCAATTGATCAATTTAGACTTAGAATAATATAATGAGGTGAACTAGAATGAAAAATTTCATTGAAATTAAAAAATTAGTTTAAACTACCTAAATTAGGGTTTAGGCCCATTAAGGCCCAATTTAGGGTTTATGCATGTATTTGATCAATAAATGCCTAATTGAGTTAGCTCTTGATATTGATGTAAAAGTAAATGAAATTGAATGAGAAAATTGTATTGAAATTGGAAGAAAATACTTAGGTTAGGTCGTGGCTAACATTTGACCTAGGTTAGAATTTTTAGGGTTTAAGTGTTGGTTGGTGTAATTTGGTTCCTTTGATGCTATTTGTTGTGTTTAATGCGTGTATGATGTGTGAAACTTATAATGTTGATGGGTATGAAAATGTATTGTTTTATGTTGTGTAATGGTGCCATTATTTGGAATGGTTTGGAATGAGGTAATGTATATGGTGCATTTTATTATACATCTCAAGAGTTAAATGGTTAAAGTCATGAAAAAAAAAATTATGGCACGTATTTCATGAAATTACAATGGATATGAATTTACAATAAAATGTATATACATGCCAATTTTATGAAAATTATTTAAAGTCATGAAAAAAAATTATTTTAAGACATTTTTCAATAGCAATTGAAAATATTTCATGGTTACATGATTTTCATGACTTTCATGGTTTTATAAAGAGGGCTTCATGGGTTTTTCATATCTATAATGGTTCATGATTTAAAGTTTTGGGTCGAGTAGGGCGTAGACGTGCATTTCCCAAAGGCTCGATAGGATGCGTTTCCGCGACGAGTCCGGTTCTTCAAACATATTATGAAAATCCTAAAGTAGCTACAATGGGATATGTCTAAGGACAAAAGATTTTCGGATCGATCATGACAAAGATTTTATAAAATGAAAAAGGATTTAAGACAAGCATGCAAATGATTTTCATATGCATTTCACATATATGCATAACATGCATAAATTAACTTATTAAGTCGTAGCTCACCCATTTTCTTATGGTGTAGTTAATACAGGTAAAAATAGTAATATTCACACTTGAGTTGACTACCGAGAGGATCGTGCATCGTGTGTATATTGGATAGAGCTGAAAGATGGACCTCCTTCAAACTATAGTTGTTTTGGTACTCGATATTTTAGTTTATTTTCTAAGTATAGCATCTTTCTTTTATGTGATAGTTAAAGTTCTAAAAATGAGTAGTTAGTTAAAAAAAAATACTAAATAAGTCATTTTTGTAGTAGATGATAGGACAATGTGCAATTCAAGTGTGAGGGTGTATTTAGTGTTTAGGTTTTTTTATTTTTATTATCTTTGTGTTTATTTATATATTTGGTATGTTTGTTTTAGGCTATCTCCTTATAAGAAAAAGAAATTGAAAAATTGAAAAATGAAAAAAAAAATGAATGAAATGAATGCCATGGTTTAGTGTTGTAACACCCCTAACCTAGGACCTCATTGGTTGAGAATATTATCATCGTTGATCCATATTTGAAGTGTAATGAATGCAAACTAACAAGACACTATGTCTTTAATATGGTATTCTAGGTATGGAATTAGCTACGAAAGCCTAATAATGATGGGTAGGTCTTAAATTATAGCCCAAAAGCACTATAAATTTTTTGCGTTTCATCATTTTATTTAAATTACTTGAACTAAAATGATCGATTTATGACATTCAATTTTTGCAAAATCTTTTTCAGTTTGTCTATATAAATTCATTTAGTTATTCCCCATTACTCGATGATTAATTTCTTTTATCCTCATTAATTATCATTTATTATAGTTATTGTCTCATTAATATCATTTTTCTTATTTTACTATTGATGCTAACATGTAAGAAAATAACTTTTAAAAAAAACTATACTAACTATGATTATACTACTATTTTACTATTGATTTTTCGATTAATATACGGATTGTCTTTAATTTACAGGTACCAATTCTAAGAAGTTGAATGAAGGCAACATTGTTATTGGTGGGTTCATCATCCATATTGTCGAGAAGTTAAAGCTATTCGGTTGGTGTAACATAGCATTGGAACTAGCAAAAGAACCCAATCGTATGAATCTTGAGAAATTGGTTAAGATTTGGTTACTAGGAAAAAAAAAGGAAAAGATACCTCGTATGATCAACTAAGATATAGCAACGAGAGGAGGAAAGGAAGGCAAGTAGTTAGAGCGATGGAGATGATGAGGCTCCATAAGTAGATGAACAGCCTTCATAAGAGGGTGCCTCAAGTGCCCAATTGGATAGGGTGGGGTAGCTTGCATCACGGTTGGATGACTTCTAACCCAATGTCAATAGTTGGCTGGACTTTTTGATCGAGCAAGTTGAACAATAATATAATGGTTGGATTTCAAATGGTCAATGGTTAGCTCCAAAACTTCTTCAATGCCTTCATGGTCCACTTTCCATCATCTCTACCACTTTCATTCTAAGTGGTTACCATCTAGATTTGCTCTTTTATCTTTCTATCTTTTCATTTTGTTTATATTTGATCTTTTGGTAAATTCAATATTATAGACATATAATATGGTAAGATATTAAATTCATTACATATTTTTGCATATTATAAATCTCAAAATAAAATTTTTCGTATAGAAAAACTCAAATGGATTACAAGTGCTAAATGAGAGTTATGTACGTGAGTGTTTATTGTATGAAGATTTTGTTTTGGTATTAGATAGAAAGGGAAATATTTTGATTTTTTTTTATTAATACAATATTTTTTTATATAAAACATTTTGCTAACTATTACTAAAATGACTTGTAACATAAAATTTTAAATAAAAAGCAATTGCACTCTCAAGGACGTTGTTTTGGTAGGAAACCTCCCGAATAAAGAGTAAATTATAAATTAGTTTTTTTTTTCGAGTTTTGGAAAAAACAATTAATTTATCTTTTGTTTAAAATATTAAATATTTATTGTTTATATTTTTAATTTTTTTATAACTAAATTCTTTTTTCTTTATTTATTTATTTTATTTTTAATAAAAAAAGTAGAAACAAATAAAAATATATATAAAAAGATTATGAGGAAATATGATATTTATAAAATAAAATAATATTAGACTAAATGTGATCAATACTAAGAGGCTAGATAATTATTTTTTAAAAATAAGAAATACTAATTAATTCATTTATTAAAACTAGAAGGAATAATTTATAAAGGTAAAAGGTCTAACCACTCTTGAACTTTAAGTAATTTGAGGTTGAGTCTCCGAATTCTTTTATTGATTTTGAAGATGCTTAAACTTTTAATTTTTTCGCATTTATCTCATCCAATGATTTTCACTTATCATTTTCTCTTCTAAAAAATTCAATTCTTGATATTTTGAATTAAAAATTTGCACATATGTTGGAAAAAAATAAATTCATTTTGTTGAGAATTTTAGAATTTTTCAAAATTGAAAAATATATTTGTTTATTTTTTAAATATTAAAAATAAAAATAAGAAAAATATAAAATAATTCAAAAATGATTTCAAATTTTTTAAGGAGTTTCAAATAAATTTTACTGAGTGATTTTCATTATAAAAATATTTATCTGATTGTTATTTTTTGACATTAATGATAAAAAACCGAAAGATAGATTAAATTTCAAAAAAATTAAAAGTTTAAAAATCTTGAAAACCAATAAAAACATCCAGGGACTCATCTTCACATGACTTAAAATTCAAGGATGATTAAACCTTTCTAGCCGTTTATAATTTAGGCCACAAACAAAACCCCAAAATTTATTGAAACCATCTTAAAACCACAGGAGAGACTGTTGTGAGCTAGCAATGGCGTATATCACCACCAGACGTAACTTAGCTCTACTCCTAACCAGAACTCTCTCTTCTTCTTCTTTTTCTCGTACACGCTTCTCTCCCGCTCTCTTAAAGAAGATCCAAAACCCACTAATCCCGGACTCAGTCAAAACCCTGACCCGATCCCAAACCACCGGGTCGGGTTACTCGCCATTAAACGACCCCTCACCGAACTGGACAAATCGGCCGCCAAAAGAAACGATACTTCTCGATGGCTGTGATTATAAGCATTGGCTTATTGTTATGGAGTTTCCAACTGATCCGAAACCCACTGAAGAGGAAATGATTAACACTTATGTTAAAACCCTTGCTTCTGTTTTGGGCAGGTAATGATTCTTCGTTTTTTTTTTTTTTTTTTTTTCCAAATGAAAAACCTTTAATTATTTGATTTATTTATTTGTAGTGAGGATGTCGCAAAAAAGAGTATCTATTCGGTTTCTACGACAACGTATACAGGGTTTGGTGCTTTGATATCAGAAGAGCTTTCTTATAAAGTTAAAGGTATTGTTTTTCTTGGAATTTGGGGTTGGTTTTTTACTAACATGTTTAAGGGTTTATTATTATTGTTGTTGTTGTTGTTGTTGTTGTTATTTTAACAATGGGTGTTGACGGAATTGGTTCTAATCTGATAGGATTGATTGCTATTTAATCTTGCTCTTTTCTATTCGGTTCAAACCTTGATTTTGATGTGGTTTAATGTAAGGTGCCTTATGGCTATTTTTGTTTATCTGGTTGAATAGCGTTGCCCGGCGTACTTTGGGTTTTGCCAGACTCATATCTTGATGTTCCTAACAAAGATTATGGAGGTGGGTTTTATATACCAGCAAAGTTTACTGATGATAGCTTTTTGATGATTCTTGTGAATTATAATGGTCTTGGTTTTCTGTACATTTTGTTGGTGTTGTTTATCAGGGGATTTATATGAGGATGGGAAGGTCATCCATAGGCCCCAGTATAGGTACAACGAAAGGCAGCAGACTAGGAATAGGCCTCGACCTAGGTATGATAGGCGCCGTGAAACAATGCAGGTTGAGAGGAGTGAAACAGTGCAAAGACAGAACTGGAGCCAAGATCCGAGACCACCTTTACAGCAACAGCAACTGGCATTGAGTAATGTCCAGAATTCCACTCAGGGTGGAGGGGGAGATCTCTCTATAAATCAAGGGCAGTTTAACCAAAGCACTTGGTAAAAATTCACGATATCCATAGCCCAAGAATCACTATGCAGTTCCAAAGCATAGGATATTAAGCAAGGTTGATGACCTTTTCTTGTGTTTGGTGTGGAATGACTTTTGGGTATTGCACTATCTTTCTTTGGTACATTTATTAATTATTAATATTGTCTAGAATCTTTTTCCTTTTGCATAAAGGAAACACGAGTATGTTTCAAAATTGAAATATCTAGACTATGATATGGTTCAGACTCATGTTTTCTTGGTCATATATCTGTCGAACTTATCTTTTCTTCTGTCTTCTTCCCTATTGCCATAGATATTATATGCAAGGGGTTAAGGAATTTGTTGCAGTATGAGACTGCATGTAAGTTTGCTGGTGGTGAAGTATATAGTGTTGCAATATATGAAATGACCGAATCCCGGTTGCTTTTACGTTCTTTTAACCTGTCCACAAGTTGCTTTTACTTTCCTGGGATTAGGATGTTATTCCTTGCTGAACGTTCATCCAAAATACAGTTGTATCGTCTTCAAATTTTGAATGTCACTTCCCGTGATTCGATGGTGTAATCTGTGATTTTTCTAGACCGGGATCTAATAACTGGAGCTCTCTGAATTTTTAACAGATTATATATGACTACTAGTGAGATAATTGTTTTGGATCTTTGAAGTTTTATAACATTTTCAGGGTATTTGTGCCCTATTTAGGATGTTCAAGTAGTGTTTGCCCCAGTGCTTCAAGTTGAAAGAATAGACTTCAATTAGTATAATTCCATTATAGATGCTATATGGGGTTGCAAAGTCATAATAAGCAGAGTATTGAGATTAAATAATATATATATATATATATATATATATACACTTCAATTGGTATATACTAGTTTTTTTACTCATGTTATGTTGCGGGTTAGATAAAATATATAAAATCGATTAGAAGTTATTTAAATCTATCTTTCAAAAGAAAAAATAATGATCTTCTATATTTTAAAAATTTATTTCAAAATTCATACATATGAAAAAAATAAATCAAAATTATCAATAAATATAAATAATAAATTTTAAATAATTAACAAAAAACAAAAAAAACAAAAACAAAATGGGACATCCAAGGTTAATGAATGGTGATTGCGTTTTTTATATATAAAAAAAAAATTAACAAAAAATACTATAAAAAAGCAAAGAAAAAATTAAGTTTTTACAATTTTAACACCTAATTAAATAAAAAAATATAAATTGATGAAAAAAAGTTAAGGAAAAAAAAACCAAAGAAAAAAAGAAGAAGAAAAAGCATGTGTAGTACATGAGTTAAGGAATTAAAATATTTATTTTAAATTTTTAGGGACCAAAATGAAATAACTTGAAAATTAAAAAAAAAAAAAAACTAAACCATAGTCATGATCAGCATTCATCACTATTGATTACTGTTCATTACTCGTTAAAATTGTCGTTTTACTTTAGTTATATAGTAACCGATTGGATACTCACGCGTAAGCGTAAGCGTACAACCATTACATACATAAGATTAATAATTCGTATGACGTAATGTACATAGAAAGTTTTATTTTTGGTAATTAATATAAATCGAATCTATATATAGTTAATTTATAACGAAACTAATATATATATAATAGATTCGTAGTATATATAATAAATAGAAAAAAACCTAAATTTTAGAAATATATTGAAATCAATAGATTAAAGTAAAAACTACAACAAAATTAGTTCGATAAATTCCGAATAAATATATATATAAAAAAACAAATAAAACTTATGAATTTTTTGAACTCATTATTATTTTTTAAAAAAAAATTGAGCCAAACCATCTAAAACATACTTTTAGCCCCCCCACACCCACACACACACACACACACACACACACACACACACACACACACACACACAAACATACTTTTAGCCCCTCTCTCTCTCTCTCTCCCCCTCCACACACACACACACACACATATATAACACTCATTTAAAAATATAAAAATAATTTATTGTATAAATTATAATAACATATTTTTTTAAAAAAAACATTAATGTTCTACAATTTTATTTCAAAATTCATATATTAAAAAACCAAATTTATTAACAAATAAAATTAAATAAAAAATTAATTTAATAAGAAACAAATAATTGAAGAAAAAAATTTTAAACAATGAGAATAAAATAATCGGATATGTTTGTTAACATCAATGTCAAAGATATAATTAAAATTGGTTCGGGGATATTAAAGAGACCAATAATAGATATGTTTTCTTTCTTGATGAAAGGATCAATTATATATAATCACTTAACTTGTACATCACTTGCTAGAGATCCAGTTATGTTATGACTAGTGGACTAAGCTTGTTATCAATTAATCCTTTTTTATAAACAATCACAAAGCCCTTGAAGATTTTAACTAAGTTTTAATAAAAACGAGTCCAAGTGTAATAAATTTGCTCATTCAAACACACTCGTATCTTAATTAATTATACTCTGTCACTTTCTTTTCTTACCCCAACGGTCCTCAAAATTTACTTCCGATCTGCGTGTTTCGGTTTCAACAAGAATGAAGATTGAAAAGTTAGAGATTTAGAAATTAGGAAATTTTTTACTTTTTATTTCGGTTTTTGGTCGAAATCGAAATTTTTTTTCTAAAAACCGAACCGAACCGAAATAATTTGGGTTTTTTCAGTTAGGTTTTATATTGTATAATTTTATATTTAAAACCAAACCAAATTTCATAATTCGGTTCGGTTTTATTCGGTTTTCGGTTAACCGAACCGTTTGCTCACCCAATGAACAGGGAAAACCCTAGTTATTTTAGTTTTTTTTTTAGAATAATTATAATATCTAAAACCCATTAGAGCTCTCTTTCTCATCGAATTTGTATATGCAACAACGTCATTTTCATTAAAAAAAATCATGAAAATAATCAATCATATAAATTATAATAATATATTTTTTAAAAAAATAAAACAATCAAGTTTTAAAATTTTATTTTTAAAGCCATGTATAAAAAAAATTAAATTTATTAACAAGTAAAATCATATAAAATTTAAAATTTTATTGGATGAGAATTTTACTAAGAAACAAATAATTGAAGAAATAAATTTTAAATAATAAAAATAATATAATCGGAAATATATGTTCAAATTAAAATTTTAAAAAATATCATATATATTCTATTATTGTCAAACTATATATAAAATAAAAAAATAAAGATCTTTATATATATATATATATATATATATATATATATATATATATATATATATATATATATATATATATATATATTCACACCTAATTTCATGATTAAAAAAAAATTATAGAAAGGGAACAATTGTCATCTGATAGTTAAATAAATCATTTATTAATAAATATTATATTATTATACCAATATTTAAAACAATATTTAACTAATACAACGTAATATTAATTTAATTGTATGATATAATTATCAAATATATTATATTACTAAATACTTATCAATTTTTATATATATTCAAATTCACAAAATAATATATCAATATATTATTTATATCTTAATATAAAAAAAAAATAATAATGTATAATAAATACAATATCCACAAGTCAAAATACAAATAACTATTTTATAATAATTATTTGATATTTTTTGTAAAATATAATGATAATATATTATAATTATTAATGATTAATAATTTTATTATTTTAAAAAAATATATTTCTAATAAATAAGGACCTAAATAATATATTTGACTATATAATAATAGTCCTACAAATATAGAAACCGAAAAAAAAATGAGGCTAGACGTTAAAAAAACAAAACAAAACAAAAAAGCACTCGCATAAATACAATATTCATAATCAAAATACAAATAACTATTTTATAATATTTATTTGAATTTTTTTTTGTAAAATATAATGATAATGTATTATAATTATGAACTATAAATAATTTAATTATTTAAACAAAATACATTTCTAATAAATAAGGACCTAAATAATATATTTGACCATATAATAATAGTCCTACAAATATAGAAACCGAGAAAAAAGGAGGCCAAACGCTAAAAAAAAAAAAAAAAACTACTATTTTTTTTGTAAAATATAATGATAATATATTATAATTATTAACTATAATAAAAGTCCTACAAATACTTTAATAGTTGGGAAAGAAGATAAATTAGTCAACAAATTATATTACCTCCAAGGCAATGAAGGTTGCGAGTCTATTCATTGGAGAATAAAAAACGATGCATGAGTGAAAAAGTTAATCTTTATCATTGGATCCGGAAGAATGGACGGTGTTAAAAAAGAAGAAAAAAAAAGGGGAGGTAACAACTACGAGTAAATGAAAATGGCCAAAAGGACAAAAAAAAAAAATTAGTTTTCAAACCAAAGGGACTAATTAATTTATTCCCTAAAGATTTTTTTTTCTATTTCTTAAAAGAAAAAATAAAAATAGCAAAATGGTGAAAATGACCAAAAAAATTAGTTTTCAAACCAAATGGACTAATTAATTTATCTCTTAAAGAATAAGGGACCAAGATGCAAAAAAAGCATACATGAATAGAGACTTTGAGTGTGTAGCTACAATGAATAAATAGGAGCAACCTCATTTCTTTTAGTTTTTTTTTTATAATATACTTTTGGTAATGTAGCATGACCAACTAGACAAGTAGTAGAGTTGAATAAATTTTGATAAATTAGTTCTAGGGGTTTTGCGACACTAGTAGAGTTGGATAAATTTTGATAGATTAGTATTAGGAGTTTTGCTTGACAAGGAATGGTATTTTTCTTTTACAAACCTCATGATAAACTTGACCATATAAGAAGCAAAATCTTTTGTCTAATCCAAGTATGGATGGTAAAAAAATTCAGCAATTATTCAGAATCGGGAGTTGAACTCTCCTCTTCTTTTACATAATGATGAGATCTATCTCATATTGATATGAGAACATATTATACAACTCCTTGATTAACCAAATAATTTTTTAAGAAATTCCGAATGATCTTAAATTAATATATAATTTTTAAGGAACTTC